ATATCTGGATGTCTGTGGTAACTTCTCTTTCATTTCTGATTTAGTTTATATGAGTCTTTCCTCTTTTTTCCTTAGTGAGTCTTACCAGGGGTTTGTCAGTTTTGATAATCTTTTCAAAGAACCAGCTCTTTGTTGTTGTTTTTGTTAATCCTCACCTGAGGATATTTTTCCATTGATTTTTAGAGAGAATGGAAGAGAGAGGAAAAGGCAGAGAGAAACATCCATATTAGAGAAACGCATTGATTGGTTGCCTCCTGCATGAGCCCCTCCCCGCCCCAACCCTAACCCTAACCCTAACCCTAACCCTAACCCTAACCCTAACCCTAACCCTAACCCTAACTCTTTTTCTTTTTCTAGTTCTTTAAGAGATAATGTTAGGTTGTTTACTTGGGATTTCTCTCATTATTGAGATTGGCCTGTAATGATTAAACTTCCCTCTTATTATTACTTTTGCTGCATCTCAGTAGTTTTGATATATCATATTCTTGTTTGTCTCTCTATATCTTTTTGATCTCACCTTTTATTTCTTCTTTGACTCAGTCAATTTTTTAGTAGTTTCTTTTTTTGTGTGTGAGTGCAAGTATCAAAGATATTTTTTAATGGTTGGTAAATAACTGCTATAAAATATGAAACAAAATACATCTACTGGATTGTTTTTCTGAGTGCAATGGCCCTTTGGCTCCCCAAATGAGGATTCCCCATAAAAGTCACAAAGCAGTTCATGTAGTGGTTATTTTAGGCCAATGCCTTTCCCCCACTTCCTACCCCCACCCCTATACGCACCATATTATTAAAAACATTAGGTACCTGGGATTTGTACCCCAGATCAAGACATCATTTGGGCAATTTCAAATGATGTACAGCTCCTCATGTAAAAAAGATGTTCTGTGGTCACAATTACTTCAAAAAGTAATTATATTCAAATAACCTGGCAGATCATGTTTTAGCAATTACAGAACTGATACGGAATTTTTGGACTGGAACCCGGATCCTTTTTTCGCTGGAATCGAAGAATGAGTCCACAGACAAAATGTGGTATAGCAAAGGTGGAGATTTGTTGAAGAACAAGTACAGACTCCCATGTGGGGAGAGAGAAAGAGTCCCACAGAATGGACTCCCAAGTAGGGAGGGGGAAAGGTCCACTGAGTGCCTGTTTCCAAGGTTTGTAAAGGCTGCAGTTCCTGTGTCCTGATACCCCTCTGACTGG